TAGCCTAAATGTGAACGCCTTTCACTGCCCAATTTGAAATCCACATAATAATTTTGAAGGAAGAAGTTTGGGTCGAAAGCATCTTGCCTCAAACTGGTTAAAATTTGTGAAGTCCTCTTTCAGGAGCTGATATTCGCTCAGCTGATCAAGAAGTACGCTGCTTCTGCCGTTGGACCCTGTTTAGTCCAATCTATACCTGCCCTTTGTGCCTCTTTAACCTTCATTTTAATATTATTCTAGTTGTGTTCCTTTTGGGTTTTACAGCCTAAAGTGGATATAACACAAAGTGAGTAAGTAGATACAAATTATTTGGAAATGTGTGCCTTTCCTACTTTGTGCTCTATTTCAGAGATGATGAATACTCAGCAGCCTTCACGTTCCGTCCAAAAATCCCCCGCACCCCCACATTTTAGCTGCAGTGACACTGTGGAGCCACTGTGATGTCCCAAGCTTAAGTGCTGCCATCTTGACAACTCTGTTTCTTCATTGCGGTAACAGTTTTGGTTATTTATTTATTTATTTCAATTTATTTTTATGAATGCATTAACAGTATGTTCGTAGTCATTTAAATGTATGAAATTATTTATACTCTAAAGTAAGTCTGCCCCACTATAAGCCAATTAGACACTTGGAGGAGAGGTGGCGTAGCTCCTACTCATCCTTGACCTTCTGACCAAGCTACTCCAGCTCTTATTATTTATAATGCGGGTTTCTTGTGTTGTTATGTAAATAATGGTGTGATACACATAATATTATTAAACTATAAAAATTTATTATAAAAAATAGTTATGAGCACCATACATTCATTCACACGGTGGAGTATTAAGATGAATGATAAATCAGATCATAGTGGGACCCTTATTTTGTGACGTTTGTTGTGTTACCAAAATGTCCGCTAGTCTTTGGTATTGCCTCCACTTCTGCCCCCGCTCTAGTCCGTTTTACATAAAACGTGACGCAAGTTCAGCCTCTCAGTTATGTAGTAGCAATGTTTAAGACTGTCTTGAATTGCTGGTCCTTTGTGTCTCGTGTATATCGACCAGCAACCAACTTAGCCTTTCCATGCGGTCACTTGTGTGGTACAAAAATCCAGTTGTGCCCTGCATAAAGGGTCTCAGTGCTTCAACTCAGACGTCTGATGATGTACATAGAACAGATAACATCAAGAACTTTGCACTCCCATGCAGGGGAGAAAGAAGCAGTGGTAGTATTAGTTTGCAATAAATATGTACGACGTGTTGTGGCAGCACTGTATCATGGATATCCACCTGAAACAGTAGAAGAGGACACACATAAGTAAGATTATATCATACAGTAATACGCTGTTTAATCACGGCTCATTGCGGCAAGAAACACAAAGTTTTGATCTGTTTCTAAAGTTTTATAGCGTTGGTTCATTATTGTAATTTTGAACATTATCCATTCGTTGCAAGGTTGAAAAATGTGATCAGTTTTTCCTTTGTTATATTAATGCATTCTGCTAAGATAAAATAATTAAATAGTTGGCAGTCTTGAAATGAGACAAAAGGAGGCAATTAAATCAGTCACAGACTGGGATCTGTCACTTATTTGCATCTCAGATGATTGGAACTAAAATTTCCTTTGCATGAATGTGATCTGTTTTTCTGTTATAACAACAACAGCCGTGCGTAGCAAGAATTAATACTGCTGTCATGATATGATGCACTTGGTCGACTACTGTGCACAGTTGTATCATATGAACAGAACATCATAATGCATTCCCTTACCCAGATCTTGCAAAGAGATTTTCTGTCATTTTGCCATTTTTGTTTGTTTAGCCTTATAAATAAAAATAAGGGTCGTTGCTCCCAAGTGTAATGTTCTGTATCATCTTTTTGTATAATATTTACAATTGCATCTTACAATTTAAATTAATGCAAATATAGCTATTACCACAAAAATTGATATGTAACTCACCAATGTCATCATCTCCATGACCAGCGCTAGAATATCCACCCCCTCCACTGGAATACCCATCACCTCCAGAATATCCGCCACTAGAATATCCTCCGTGGCCACCTGATCCGCCACTGCTGTAACTGCTTCCTCCGTGACCACCTCCGAGTCCGCCACTGCTGTAACTGATTCCTCCGTGACCACCTCCGAATCCGCCACTGCTGTAACTGCTTCCTCCGTGCCACTTCCACCATGGCCACCTCCGAACCCGCCACTGCTATAACTGCTTCCACCATGGCCACCTCCGAATCCGCCACTGCTGTATCCACTTCCACCATGGCCACCTCCGAACCCGCCACTGCTATAACTGCTTCCACCATGGCCACCTCCGAATCCGCCACTGCTGTATCCACTTCCACCATGGCCACCTCCGAACCCGCCACTGCTGTAGCTACTTCCTCCTAAAGTGTATCCTTTGAGACTTCCACCGCCGGAGTATCCACCTCCTAATCCCCCGATGCTGTAACCTCCATGACCTCCACTACTAATTCCTTTGAAACCACCTGCAAAAGTATAATTATAAATTATAGAAGCATCCTCACAGCCCTTATACGTACGAAGGGATGCCTAGAATTTGGGGGCCGGGGGTCTTGTGACCTCGACAGTGATACATCTTCACAAAGTTTTTGCGGAATGCAATAAGCGCGTGTGTATGTTTGGATTTGAACCACATTATACGTAGGCGTTGCTTTACAGTTTCATCCAGAGAAACAAACTGTGAATTGGGATTGGATGCGACGGTCGTGAACCTTTCGAGGTTTCGTGACAACGGAAATATTATTTCATCAAAGAAGACGCGATGTGGGGCGTTACGTGGAACTCGATAACCGCGCACTTGCTTTCTGCCGAGGGGCATCTCGGTAGTTACGACGTCGTTTGTGTTTCCAGGATGGGACAAGCACCAAAGATTCACGCCATGCAATAGTGTCGAGGGCATATTTAGTTAGCGCGTCATTCGTTATCGGCTATTTATTGACTTATCGATCACAGAAGTCGATGTTGTTGAAACGTATTGATTACGAGGGGAAGTTGGAATAAAGTATTTGATTAAGTAATTATTTAAACAGATTTTGGAAGTGGACGAGCGAAGAACCAGAAGACGCGGGGTTCAAACGTGCCATTGACGACAATGCGCGCCTCAGGTAATTCGTAAGAACAGTCGAAAATATTAATTCGGAGACGAAAGGCAAATAAACTTTGGTTCTTCAAATCTGTAAATAAAGAGAATGTTTTTAAGCACCTCGTCGCTTGTCTTCAATGTGCGTAGGTTGTGAAAGCAGGTACTTGACCCTGAGCGTGAAGAGGTTTGGCCGACCTTGGACTTATGGAAAGCAGAGTCTTCAGCGGCACTTTCTGTCTGCCCTGGTCCAATTAATCCAGTCCGCACGACAAACAAAACACTACACTGCACCATGAGAGCAATGAGTAGGCCAGTGCTGTTAGGCAAACAATCGCTTTTCATTCCGACAGTCGTAGGAAATACGTAAATAAACTCCGATCGGATTCCGGAGTTATTTATTGTTAAAGCGGGTGGTATCTGTAGTTACCTTTGGTATTTAAGGGGTATCTGTAATGCGACTTATTTTCTTGGCGGTAGAAAACAATTTTTTTGAACAGTGCAGTACATGCTCGTAATAACTTCAAGACGTTTTGAAGCTGTTTCTTTGCAATTCGAAACGTGATGGAGCTGTGATTCTTGGCTATTAGCGGGTCCCAAGACAGGAAAATAATTTTTGAACTGTTCATGTAGCATTACTTTGGACAATCCTGAATACTTTCCAAGTAATTTGTGACGTGTTCACTTTCAGATGGGCGCATGCCCTTGAGGTTAGCTGCAGTGACCTGCGTTCTCTTCTGCCCTGGTCTGTGGGACCGACCGTTCCAGAAGATCGGCGCGTTCCAGTGGCGAGTACATTTTAGCCAAAAAATATTCAGCACAAGGTAGGATTTGAGGTTTCCACTGCGGTGTGTCCGAAGATGGCCGTCTTCCGGGTTGTTACCATCTTGACATTTACACCTTTTAAACATTTTTTCCAAGAAAAGCAAGGAGGGTTTCGTAACAATGCGTTTGGACCAAAAATAGCGAATAACATGTTCCCCGAGGCCATCGGAATTGGAACCTCGGCTGCGACGTAAATCAAATGAGTTTTGAAGAAAAATTACGCATCGAAGAAAGTAACTGGTGATGTGAGGAGAAAGCAGAGAAAGGACGATCGTAGGTTTCGAAAGGATTTCAAGTTATAATGAGGAGCAACTGAACCAATCGCGTAGTTTGTGAAATCGGAAATTTAGGCCAGAGATCAGACTTATGTAAAGTTTAGACGGCCCTCGGTACTTTTGTGATACTTCGTTAAGTGCTTCGTTAATGTAGTCTCCTGTGAATTTTAAACAGAGTAAATGGAGAACGAATTGGTCGTGGTCTATTTTATGGCATTATCTTATTACTTCCCTGAAGGAAAAACACGAAAGCTCAGGCAGGATATTTGGCATGAGAGAAAAAACACACCTTTCGTCGACTGCTCAGGTTATACAGCTGAATTCCCAATGTCGCAAGGCGTGGGTCCACGTTTGCCTCTTCCTGCCGTATCGCGGGTCAGTGTGTTATAAGTAACAACGAGAGGACAGTTGATTAAAATTTAATAGCCAAATTTTGGAGGGTTTCCCTGGTAACGGAGCAGCAAGCTCAGAAACCGGCACACGAACTTCTCCTGCCCCATTTAACCGCTTTATTTCTCGTACGCGTAAGCAACGATTTCACTTAAAATAGAAGCACGCGGGCTCTTATTAGCGTGGCCTGTGCATTTGAGGAAGAGTGGATACAAGACGAGATGCCCCTTGGGAAATCTAGACATAGATGTGAGTATAATATTAAAATGGGTCTTATATAGAGTATAAGAGTGTAACCTGGATTCTAGCTTAGGATAGGAACAGATGTGGGGGTCCTGATAATGAACCTACAACTTCCACAAAAGGTCATTAAGTACTTGACTACTGAGCGACTATCAGCTTCTCAGGGGGACTATTCACTCAACACATATGAAATGCGCGCAGGGACAACACTGAAATTGTTGTCTAGATATTATTGGTGGTGAAGATTGGGTTGAACTGGCTAAAGACATGGTTAGCACTTACCTCCGTGAGATGGCGGCTCGGAGAGCACGTGACTGATGACTAAGAGGAGGGGAAGCACCAGGATCACCTGAAAAAGTCACGTGACCATTTAGAATTCTGAGTCGCTTGTATTGGCCTTGGAAGGGAAACTGAGCTTAGTGGTACAGCTTCTATACACGAACGAGATTTCGGCAACCGAGTCACGGTAGTGTAGCCATTCCATCAGATATGAAGGAATTGTAACAGTCGAAGTCTTTATTGTACAAGTTTTAACTCAGCTCTGTTCTTTCCATTCGGCGGATAGATATTTTCTTCTAATTCCGAGGATAAGAATGCGTGGATTTTTCTCTCCAGTCGCCATACGTCTTTAAGGCGTGCGCTAAAGCAGACATCTAGACAGTAACACGACTAAGTGTTCGTTTTGACGCCTTGTAGACTGTACATTAGGTTAAAATGTTTTACTTACTTTTGTTCTTTTCTTGGTGCAAATAATCGATACGGGTTTTTAGCGCCTGTGCTTAGACTAATGCCACGCACCGGTGTCGGAGAAGTTGCCGCCGCGCCCGGGGTTACGGTGCCTTTTGTCGCAGTAGAAAGATGGCTTTTGTGTGTGCGAGTCTTGTTTCAGTTTCAATTAAATTTGGGGTTGGCGGGAGGGGGTATGCATAAAGAATGTTTGACAATTTTTGGTACGTATTGGCCCAACATAACTTCTTTTTAACACTGAGATCTTCGACTTGAACTTAAATATGTCATTGTGCAAATAGAATACGTACATGGATAAATACAGCTCCCCCCCATTGAAATCTGCAGCTTCTATCTGTAAAATTGTTATATTGTGTATGTTTAAGGAAACGCGTGGATTTAGAGCTGTGACTACGTAAATAATATGTTTGAAAATTCACTAAATTAGCATAAACATAAATTATGGACGTAACACTGAAATACGTGTCCTGTAGATTGTGTTTATGACAATGACTGAAATGAAGTTGTTGTTTCACGTTGGCATTATTGAAAGACAGAAACCCATAGTTCGTGTATGAAGCGACTGTTTTTTGTGGGGCAGCTGTGTTTTCCGAGACGTTACGTGTCCGCAGAACTGGAATTTCAAATATTTATGAACTCACCCTCGGAGCCATGTTGCCTTGTGCGCGTTCAGATGCTTGGTGATGGTGAATGTGTTTTCTCGATTTCTGGATCAGCCCTTTATATGCAGTGACCTTGTTATGCGCTTTCGACGGGGGATCTGCAGGGACCCTCCTCTCACGGGGAAAGTGCCCACTCTATGGGTCATGAAGATGGTTGGCGGTGAACCAGTTTCAATGACTTATCACACGCGCTTTCCTTTCCCACTTTCAGGCTTCTCCCGGATGCGTAAGAGGCCCAAGGAGAGAGGATTCAAGAATGTACTTTCAGTTTTGTTGAGTTTGATGAATCTAACATTTCAACAAACGTAGGGACATTGTCAGTGGAACGAAAGGGAGCGTGCTCTTTGCAAAAATAAAGTTATTGCCTAAAGCATGATCAAAATGTCTAATTACGCAATTTCGGCATCACGTAATACACTCCCCCTCGCCCTCTGATATATAAAGTTTAAATTGATGTTATGTTTATTTATTTGTCCGCTTGCAGCCCTAAACCGGGTGACCGACTTGCACCAAAGTGGGCATGCTTATTCCTAGAGACCAGGGAGAAAACATAGCAGCTTCAAAACTCCGGAAATAGTGTCCTGAGTTCTGACGCAGATTAGGTTCCTGAACCTAACCAAGAGAGAATAATGGCGCCAAGGCAAAATTTCTTCGTTACGATTAGGATATTGCAGGAAGATGGCTGCCCTCTGACTTCCTGCGTGTTTCAGAGGTCCTTGCTCATTGTTCTCATAATGGAGGCAGCAAGGACCTCTGAAAGTCGTGAAGGCCTGTAGAAGTGCACACAGGATTAGAAAAATTAATTGCACAAAGGGAGGAATCATTACTTGATAGCAAGCGTCTGGTCTCCAAACGGAAAGGAAACAACTTTCACCGCAGCCATTGCAGAAGTTAATGAGCGTATCTCCACATTCAGGATGAAGACCAGATTTAAGATGACTCACAGCGTCCCAGATAGCAGAACTTAAAATTTACGAAGCCAGCTGCACTGTCTGACCATCATTATCACACAGACAAAGGAAATTCACGGGAGATAAAACATTTAACTCATTGCCAGACACAGTTTTAGTATAATTTGCTTCTAGATTTGTACTGTTAAGTATATTTGTGAGGGCCACTAACATTTACGTTATATTGGAAGGAATAAATAAATCGAGAGGGATCGGGAAAAGATTTGAAAACAGGGCGATGTTAATCATAAACCGAAGCGCAAAGAACGCCTACGCATCACACTTTTCCAGCGTTGTTTAGATTTGCCATTTTAGTCTTTTAATACTAATAATCATGGTTGTTTCGCATGATTTTTGGGATGATGATCTCCCTGAAGTGATAGATTGTGGTATTACACGAAACGCATTGCAGTCTTCAAACTGTCGTCTACCGCAATTACTTTTCTGTTTACTGAAGACCTAACCATTGCAAGAACTGGAACGGCAGACACTTCCCTTGGGGTCGTAGCTTCCGTTCCTGTAATCAACTCCCCGAAACGAACGATGCTTGTGACGTCATCAGATTCCAAGACACGGAAAAATATTCACCGGGACTCAAACCCAAGACGCGAATTATTTCCAGAATGCTCGAGGCTGAATAAGGTGCCTTCGGTGGTTTCAGTAATCTCACGACGTTTCAATCTCTTCGTCAATACAATTTTAAATTTTGGTTGTTGGTGAAATGAGTTTGCCTAACTAGATTTAACTCTTTTGTGGTTAGAAGTACAAAATCCCCGTTTTCCTGCAGGTAATCGAACCCCGGCCTCCGAGTCTGAAGTCATTCACGAAAGAGGAAGAAGGGAATGGATGAGGATTCCGGATGCAATAAAGACGAGATTAAACAAATGGGACGTGACCTTGTGAACTGGATTAAGTCGACTTATGCAGGGTCTGCTTCCATTAAGGACCGGAAATTTTCTGAGCAATTCAGTAGGTCATATGAAATCACTTATAAACAGACTGTACGTTGGGCTTTGATATTTCTGCTATTCTTTGTCTGAATCTTTAGCATCTATTTCTTAGTTGCTTTTTTTAATGTTCTCAGGTTCTGGACGTGATATGCGAGTGGTGACTGGGGAAGAAACGCAGGTGCCCTCTGGCAACCAGCATATTCAGTGCGGAAGGTTGAACAGTGCACCTTGACATTGGAAAGTCTGACGTGCTTCTACTTTTGTTTCTCAGCAATGAGCACAACATAGGCCTGTTTCCAGTAATAGTCTGAAGTGACTTTCTGTGATGCAGAAATGTTCAATATTTAATTTTGCATGAATTACTCTGATGTTGCATTTGCTTATGAAGAGAAACATTCTTGTTTTTATTCTTACATCCATTTGCCAGAAGAATGACTTGAGTCTCGTATTATTTTTCTGCACAGCGTGTCACATAGAAGTGAAATACTTTTGTTGAAAATTGTTGTATTCAATATTAATTATTGCTTCTTACATGTATCAGAGGAAGAGAGGGATTTGATCCTACTTTCCCCTGTTGTGGCAATCAGGAGGTACTTGCCATATTCATAATTTCATATATGATTACCAATACTTGTTATGAAGTTGTGGGCGAGATGTGAAGAAGAAGCATAACATGATGACAATTTTTTTATCATTCCTTCCATTTACAAATATGCAGGGTTCAGAAGTTAAAAAGAAATTTGTAATTACAAAGGAGTTGAAGTTTGATCAGTTGTTCCTCGCATGCTTTGTCGAAGAGGCAGGCAGCTTGAAGCACTTGCAGGGTCCATGATCGTGTATTATTTATTCATAATACTGGGAGTCTTGACATTCAAGTGCTGAGAAAATTGTGAGGACCTAAATAGTAAGCGTGGAGGTGGGATTGTTAGTCCTGTGTGTTAGTAGACGATGCTGTGCCAATTGAATACAAGGAAGTTCAGATGTACATGAAATTATGTTACACATAATTAATGACAATACACTATACAGTTTTTTACCACATTAAGATGGAATGCTTTATCACCTGAAATATTATATCAAAGGCAACCTTTATACAAGGGACTGATGTGGAATTACATCTTGCTTCACTCCAATTGTTGGAGATAACATTTTCTTAATTCTCCAGAACACATGTTTGGGTAATGATTCAGGGCTATTTAGCACCCAACACATTTTCACACTTCACTACAGACGCGTAACTTTACATAGCGCTGAGCTCAAGCGAAAGAAAATATGGCCTTTCCACTACAGAATGCACAGTGTACAAAGGCGTCCATTATTGACGCAGTCTTGCGAGTTTTAATGAGAACCAAAGTCATGTGTCTTATGACCTTGTGGTACTAGGCCTGTGCATTGTAACATAACAGGCTACACCAAACATAGACCTGCCAACCAGGCTATTGAAACCAAAGTCTTCATGTCTTCAGTAGTCACCCACAGAACCAGTCGTACAAAATCCGGTATGTGTTTCTGGTTCTGGTACTGCTTCAGGAACATAAAAGTCATCTTGTCTAGCGAGTGGTATAATGGCAGTTATGATCTTCAGTTTTTTGTCATATATCTCAATGGCTGGATATGCGCACAGTTTACGATGCTTTAACAGAAAATAACAGTTAAAAATACATAAAAGTTCAAGTTCTAAATTCCTTGCTTTTTTAATCAGATGTGAGTCATTTCTTACCTCAATGTACTGTAACAATTTTCGGTACAGCCGTGACAGACCCAGCTGCAGAGACAGGTAATTTCTATACGGAAATGTGACAACAAGTGCATGTGTTATCTTTGGGAACGTAGCTATGCTGTATCCAAAATCTGCGAGTGTGGATACCAAATTGATATCAGGAAGAAGACCATCCTCATTTAGTATTACACCTGCTGCATATGACCTGGTATGTTCAGTATCCTGAAAACACACAAAAGACATTTTTATTGTCATCAATAACCTCTATATAAGAAAAGCAAAAAAATTATTAATAAGTCATGTATACCGACTGGATTGTTATGGTGATAATTTCAGATGGTGGTCTTCTGGGCCACTGTCTTAGCATGTATCCCAGTATTTCGGAAAATATGCTCTGGGGGTAAAGTAACGAGGGTTAGGAACTTGATGTACTAAAGAGGGATAGGTTGGGGATCATGCCAGGAAGATTGGTCTTCTAACCATACACAACACTTTGAATTTTCAACGTGTTCAGCATGCGCTCATTATTATTAAAATCTTACCGTCAATTTACGTCCTCCATAATAGTGAATAATTATAGTCTTGAAATATGGCAGTGTATCAGTATTTTGGATGTATCGAAACAACTGTGCGATACTAGTCTCAGCAACAGGCCCATTGTATCTATAGGCAACAACTAACCTACCAAATGGTGGTGGAATCACTTTTATATCGACATCATTAAAGAAACCTAATATTAATAAAGTATACAGTCCAAGAATAAATAATATACACAGCAGTAGTGTCGTTTCTAAAAGTAACATTTCCAGATTTATTTAGATAAATTAATTGAATGTCATTTCAAAAGTTGTCCAAGACGCCGGTAATCGATTTCTATTCGTGGATTCATACTTATCGATTGGAATCCTACTATCTGTGAGTTTTCGACCTTTGCCTGTAGCCCACTGCTGTAAATAGTTGGTTACATTCCAAAAAGAAATTTTTAGCATCTACCAATGTATCTCGGAATCTTTTTCCCTCCGTGCGACACAAAATACTCTCTCTTATAACCTGCTTCTGGTGTCTGGCACCTTGCAGTTGCAATATTTTTCAGAAATTTAGATGTCGTGGTTGCCGATGTCTATAATTATATGTGGAGGTTATATTTTCATTGTAGCAATGCGTCACCGTGTCAGAAAAATTTACCTATGTCCATGTATAAATTTTTTTCAAAAAAATATCATATTCGCCACTTCCATTACATTTATTTCGCTCAAAAGCTATTTACCGTATTTTCTCATTAACATTTTACCTTATACTTTCTTAGGAAAAACTCAGTCCTTGAATTTTATTACAATTTACTAAAATATCTGTGCAATTGAGAGAAGATAATTTTTCTTTTTCCTTTGGTATGCATAAGTTCAAATCAGGCTACGAAGGTAGAAATGGCAGTAGGAGGGCGGTTCAGTGAAGCAGCAGCTTTTGTGAAGAGTTTGTATTTTGATCCATTCAAGTGGTATGTTATACTTGTAGTTATTTCTTATTCTTGTAAGTTTATTCATATGTACTTTTACTCTGGATAGCTGTGATGAACATATGGATTATGATCTTGTGGATTGCTACGACGTGTAGTACTTTAGGTGCTTTCCAGCATTTCGGAGTAACGGATCGCCTCCATCTTCTGGGTTTAGGTTGGACGGCAGACACTAAATTATCAAAAAGTTTTTTTAAATAAAAATGTATTATTTATGTTGAATGAATTTTGAATTTAGTGAATAAACGAATCAGACTTCTCCAACCATACTGACATCATCATTTTGAATCCCAGAGTTTAGTTCAGTTCTTACCTCAAAGGAAGTACTGTACATCTCTAATAATGTGAGTTGATTATACTGTTCAAGAAAATTAATGATTTGTTCTGAGACATTTATGAAAACCTATGTATTCACGCTGTGGACATAATGTGTAGCATTTGGTACAGACTTATGCTTTAAGGGGTCAACAATATGTTTTGTAGTATCAGGTAATTATTTTTCATCATACAGAGTGGTACACAGAAGTTAACAGCATGCAGCTGTTGACCTAGGATTATACAGCAGTTATCTGTAATTTTGTTTAATTTACAGGTCACTGGTGAAGAGTTTTTCTCTTTTCGCTCTAGGAGTGCATATTGCCAAAGAGTGCACTGGTTTGGAAATAATGCCTCCAGTCACACAGTAAGGTGGGATTGAACTCTTGTGAGCAATGGAGAAGTTATTACTGCTATCATCCTTTACTATAATGTTGACATGGATGGTACCTGGATCTTGCAGTCAGACCAACATTGTTCTCATCATAGCTGATGATCAAGATCTTATATTAGGAGGACTCGTAAGTGCATTTGTGAGAATCAGAAAGAAATAACGAATTATGTAGTTATTCTGTAATAAATATATTTGGTAAAAGTACATTCTCTTATTTTCCCATCCATTATAATTGCAAATTGCACATACACATCTCAGGTATTCCTTATAAAATGCAGTTTCAAAATATGCAATTTCATTTTAATGTTCTCGCCTGATTTAGATGCTTTTCAATGAATAACACAGTCATTAATGTGAATTATTTCCCGGCCGATCAAATGACATGGGGGGGAGTACAGTGTTATATGGTTGGAAGAGGAGGAATGCAACGGTAGATGGGATTTCCTGTTTCGATTTATGCACTTTGCTCTGTGTGACTTTTCTTTGTAGCACAATTGTCACATAAATTGAGGAGTGCCTGTATGTTCTTCATGAAGTACTTGTTGCAGTTAACAACTTGTAACTGAACATTGTTGTTGAGTGGTTAGCTGTTGTGATTTATATTCAGGAACTCCTAGAGTCAATTCTTGGCCCAGAGATGAGCTATTCTGACTTAGGTGTCTCATGCTCTTCTTAATTCCTTTAATTAGGCCACAGTTCCTTCCTTCCATGCCCTTTCCAGTTCATAATTCACCAGTCATCCCATAATTAAATACTATATAGTCAGTGACTGTGTTAAATATCGTAAACCTTAAATAGATAAATATCTTACCTTACTTTCCCAGTCAAGCTGTCTGTCCATTTTAAGAGCATGTTTTGTGTTGTTTTTAAAGGTGCAACTACAAAGGTAAGATTAACCTAATTTTGCACATATACAATATTACTGGGTGCATATCAGAAACTGTAGTCTTCCTCATTCATTGTATAAGCTGCTCAAAATTTTAAGAGACTTAATCTGACCATGAAGAATACTTCGAGTATGCTTGTTTCCATTCGTCTTCCTCATAAACTAGTTCTGATAGTTTTAATTTTCTGCAGTGCTGCATGTTAGTGGAGTTGTAGATATTTGTTGCATTAAATATGGGGATAGGGAGTGTTACATAAATAATTCCTTATTACTCTGTGCTGTAATTGTGTCAGATTGTCTGAAACTCATATGAGTGTGTTTATGCATTTGTCCACACTCAGAAAAAGTGTTAGTGTACCATAATTTTGTATTCCAGACTCCTATGGTGAAAACACAGAACATCATTGCAAATATGGGAGTAACTTTTACCAATGCAGTGAGTATGATTGCCCTTGTCATGTAGTGTTAAACAGACTGACTGTTCCTCATAGGCTGTCTTCATATAAAATTAATTTAAAATCACCACCTTGTGACCGTGTTCTGAGTATTGTGTGCATTGGGATGTAATGGTGGCTGGTTCTCACCAAATAACCAGTTCTGTTGGTTCTTCTGAAGTGCTTGTTACATCCAGCAGTTGTTTCATGATAATATTCGGGAAACCTTGTAAAAGGGCACAGATTTCAGAAATATAAAATAATCCAGGAAATGGTAAATTTCTCACAGTTCGTGACAACCCCAATTTGTTGTCCCAGTCGGGCATCAATATTTAGTGGGCAGTACCAACACAATCATCTCACACTCAACAACTCTGTGAGTGGTGGCTGCAGTGGTCCTCACTGGCAGCAGCGTGTTGAGCCGCAGACTTGGCCTGCTATACTCCATCAAGCGGGCTACACCACATTCTATGCTGGAAAATACCTCAACCAAGTAAGCTAAAATTAATCTGAATTCAGTTCCTTCCTCAAAAATTAACCTCCCAAAGGATTAATTATACACAATGCACTGTAGCCTACAGCTGAGATTTTCAGATCTAGGAAGGATGGACTGGTCCCAAACCAGTACATTTAGGCTATGGTTACCTCGTGCAGGCGCATGAAAGTTTTGTATGTTGTAATAAAGAGCTACATGATGAATGCCAAGACTTTCAGTTTGAAATACAATAGTTTTACTTCATTTTGACTGATATTTGAATGCAATATTCTGAAGTGAAGATGATGTAATCTTAAAAGTTGTTCACAGAGGTAGTTAGTGCAAAATACTGACAATGTAGTTTTCTCATATCAGGTAATTATTTTCCATCATACACGACATGATATTGCAAAATATGTATGTGGGCTGTAGGTTGAGAACCCCTGTTATATTCATTGTTACAGATGTGTTATGTTCATTTAGAAGAAAGATATTTGCTAATGTTTGTTGTCACATGTATGTTTTGTTTTGTTTTTTTCTCTGTGAGTATGGGTACAAGAAAACTGGCGGCGTAGCTCATGTTCCTCCTGGCTGGGACTGGTGGATAGGCCTCGTCGGGAACTCCCGCTACTACAATTATACTCTTTCAGTGAATGGAACATCAGTATTTCACAGTGATGACTACTTCACTAATCTTATAGTTAAGTATCAATTCTTACTCTGTAACAAAAATCATGGCCAAGCTTATGCTGATGGGTATTCTAACCTAGCCCCAATTTGTCTTCTTTTATTTGGTAAGCAGATGGCATTTTTAGCAGCTTTCTTGTCCAGAAGTGACCCAGTAGATCTGGCTTTATTTTTAGTTTATGAATATGTCCTTGCAACTTGGGACTGTACATCAGTTATTTATAGATTTCAAAAAAGCCTATGACTCTGTGAAGAGAGAAGTGCTATATAATATTCTTATTGAATTTGGTATACCAAAGAAGCTAGTGGGTCTAATAAAAATGTGCTTAAATGAAACCTGCAGCAAAATTCGAGTAGGTAAATATGTATCTGAGACATTCCTCATCAAGAACGGTCTAAAACAAGGAGATGCTCTGTCTCCCTTGCTCTTTAACTTTGCGCGAGAATACGCCATCAGGAAGGTCCAAGATAGGCAGGAGGGTTTGCAATTGAATGGGACACATCAGCTATTGGCATAT